TGGGGCCCCTCGATCCCGAGGGCCTGGATATGTCGGGGCAGGAGGGAAAACACGCGCACGCACACACGCGCACAAGGACTCGTCGATTCCCGGGAAGTTTTGGAACATATGGGAAGCGGGCACCTGTGCCGCTGGGTGCCTTTGTGGCGTCCCAGGAAAACAGGCGGGTTGGCAGCCCGATCGTCTCCACAGCTCGACGGGGCTGTGGGAGAGACTCTTGCCCTGTGGTTGGCCAGCCACAGTAGGTGCGGGCCCGCCGTACCACCCCTGAGAGGCCCGATGGGGTTACTCGAAGGGGTCCCCCGACGTGGGGGGCGCGGGAACTTAAGTCCTTGGGCAGCGGGGCCTCCGCTGCTTGAGGCCGGCGGCCAAGTGGGGGTGGTGCCGGTGGCCGTGTCTCGGGGTGGCATCTCGAGGCACCTCGCAACGGCGGCGCGGATAACGCCGGGGGCGGTCCGTGCCGCCGTTCGTGTTGCGAGGTCCGACTGCATGTGAATTCATGCAGGCACCTTGGGCACCTCCCTTCGGGTTGTGTCGCCCAGGTGTTCTGTCCGGGCACAAAAAACATATGGGAAGCGGGGGGGGGGGGGCCCCCCCCAAAGAACGTTCGGCAAGTTAGGTATGGGAAACATATGGGGCATTCTGGGTTTGCGTGTCCCGGGGCCCCTTCATTGGGGGGGCGGAGGGGCAGGGCGGGACGCGGCGGCCGAGAGCACGCGTAGGCTTGCGGCCAGGAGCTGCGGCTTCGCTTGCCGCTCCGCCGGTCCTGGCCGCCACCGCGCTGCGGCTCGGCGGCGATCGAGGGGGGGAGCGAGCGAGAAGGAGGAGGCCTTAACAAGCCGCGACGGCTTAACAAGTTTTACTGTCCAAATTTGTGTTCAGAATTCCGGTCGGCCTCACGCGGTGTGAGCCGAGCATTTCGATCTGCAGAGGGTGTTCAAAGCACGTGCGCTCGAGCCTTGCTGACCTGAGTGGAAACATCGCCGAGGAAAAGTGCAGCTGTCAGACGTCCGATCTGTCACCTCGTCTGTTGCTCATCGAAGAGGGGGCTGAGGAGGCCTTCTCAGAGGGCTCGCACGTCCCCCTGGCCTCCCGAGAAGTGCTCCGAGCCCGCCCCGAGGCCGCAGAGAACGAGGCTCCGCCGCCTTCTGAGAAGGCCCTCTCCTCCTCCCTTCCCCCCCCGAAGGCCCTCTCCTTCTCGCTGCCCCCCCCCCCCCCCCCCCCCCCGAAAGGCCCTCTCCTTCTCGCTCCCCCCCCTCGTCCCCCGAAAGGCCCTCTCCTTCTCGCTCCCCCCCCCCCCCCCCCCCTGAAAGGCCTCCTCCTTCACCCCCCCCCCTCCGAAAGGCCCTCTCCTTCTCGCTTCCCCCCCTCCCTCGCGCGCCGCCGATCGGCGCGAGACGCTGCCCGCGTCGCGGCCCCCGGGCGTCGAGGCCCCCGCCTCCTCCGAGCCTCCCCGCCCCGCGGGGGTGCCGCGCGGCGCGCTCCCCGCTCGGCGGGGCACGGCGCGCCGCCGGGACCGCCGCCGGCGGCACTCCGAGCGGGAGCTCCTGGCCGCAGGCCGTCGCCCAGAGCGCCGGCTTGGCGCCGCTCGGGCGCGTGCACTTCTGTTCTCGGCGAGGAGCCTCGAGGAGCATCTCTGATCGTTTGGCGAAGAACACACGCGCACGAGACCGAACAAGAACACAGGGAATGGACGTCCGAGCGATGGCCAGAGCGCCGGCTTGGCGCCGCTCGGGCGCGTGCACTTCTGTTCTCGGCGAGGAGCCTCGAGGAGCATCTCTGATCGTTTGGCGAAGAACACACGCGCACGAGACCGAACAAGAACACAGGGAATGGACGTCCGAGCGATGGCCAGAGCGCCGGCTTGGCGCCGCTCGGAGGTGTGCACCTTTGTTCTCGGCGAGGAGCCTCGAGGAGCATCTCTGATCGCTTGGCGAAGAACCACACACACACACGCACGAGATCGGAGCACGCGGTGGCGAGTCGGTGCGGGCGCCGCGCACCTTCGTAGGTCTGCTCGCGTGCCGCCCTGCAGCCGACGACGCAGAGAAGCCGCATCAAGCACCGAGCACCACCTCCATCCTCGACCCTCCGTGCTTCAGAGGAGAAGCCGACGCCATACACAGAAACTTTTGGCGCTGCGCGCGGGTTTCTTGGACCTCCGCTGGAGCCCCCTCCGGCGCCACCCTCTCTCTCCCGGCACGCTCCGCGCGCCAGGGAGGGGGGGTCCAGTGGACGGTCCAGCGCAGATCCAAGAAGTCCGCGCGGAGCGCCAACAGTTTACGTTTATGGCGCCTTTCTTGTTCTAGTGCTGCCCCGCTGGAGCCCCCTCCGGCGCCCCCCCTGGCACGCTCCGCGCGCCAGGGAGGGGGGGGTCCAGCGCAGATCCGAGAAATCCGCGCGGAGCGCCAACAGTTTACGTTTTTGTGGCGCTTTTCTTGCTCTAGTGCTGCCCACTTTCCGTTGTGCCTCCTCCTTCCTGGGGGCAGGGCGCACAGGGCGCTCCAGGCCCCACACCTCGGGCCCACAGCGGGCATGCGGGGCGATTCTGGCATTGAGGCGGGCCTGTCCCTCTACAGGAGGAGTATTCAAACATAGGTAAAACATAGTCAGGGGACGACTTTTTGAGCATCAAAATGCCCCTGTAGGGAGACATGCCCGACCTAATTCTGGCACCCCTGGGCACCTCTCGGCGAGGCGCAGCTGACGGACAGCACCCCGGGTTCCGAACACTTCCAGAGATGCCTCAGAAAGCGTAATGCAGTTCAGACGCTGAGAGAAGGATCGTTCTGGGCTCCGGAGGGGCTCTGGCTTCCGGGTCGTTCCTGAGATCTGGGTCGGCGAACCTCTTCGTGACCGAGGCTCGCCGTGGCCAGAGAAGGTTCTTCGGCCCTTACCCAGCGTTCTTTAGGGTTTGCATCAACTCGGGCATGCCCCTGTACAGGGGGGAGATTCGAGAAGTGCCCAAAAATAGCCCGGGGACGACTTGTGGCATATGTTTTGGATATTCGGGGGCATCTTGTGAGCATGCCCGACCGAAGGGTCGCAGCATGGCTGCATCCTCGATCCTCTGGGCGGGCTGGCCGCAGAGCTTCGCACCTGGGCGGGGGCCGCAGGCGCAGGGCGCTCGGGTGCATGACCTTCCTGGCGGTGGGCTCCCTGGCCTTCGAGAGGCGCGCGCGCGCGCCCCGTCGCCCAGCGCCGTCCCTGCGCCGCGCCGCTCGGCCTCGCCCGGCCGCGCGGAGCGCCTGAGGCCGGGAAGCTCCGTGTCCGAGGCGGGAAGTTATGCACGACCACCGCCTGGAGGAGCACATTTCGGGGACCTCGACGGGCGGTGGATATGGACCTATTCGGCCCCCCGGGGGCCAACATGTATTCGTATCCACCGCCCGCTGGGGCACCAGGACATCGGCTGGCAGGCAGTGGATATGGATAAACCCCCGCCTCGCACCATGAAAGGGAACGGCTGAGGGACGGGAGGGACCAGGGCACAGCTTCGGATCGGCTTGGCTCCGGCGTACCACTCGAATACGCGGGGGTCTCGCCGCATCGCCTGCTCGAAGGATGGGAGTGGCGAAGGGGGAGCAGAAGGAGGCGGAAGAGGATGGGCGGAGGAGGTTGACAGAAGGGTAGACCTCGTGCCTCGATGCCGCTGGGAAGTGCTCGACTCGGGCAAGGAGAGAGCAGTCTGCAGTAGCAGAGGGGCGTCACAAGGCTAGTGTCTCCTTCGCCTTCTTCCCACTCCGTACCTCGGCGACACGTACGGTCGGACCGAGGTATAAGATCGAGGTCGGTTCGGGGAGGATGCCCTGCTGTTCTTCGTGTTTTTTGATGTCCTTTTACATCCTGGCGATGGTATCCTCGGATGCTCTGTGTGTGTTTGTGTGTTTTGGCCGGCGGAGGGCTTCATGTTCCTGCAGGAGTCAGGAGGGGAAACACACACACAGACACAATTAAACGTCGGTTTCAATAGCAATCTGAGAAAATATGGGAATCGTGGGGGGGAGGACGAAAACATAGACAACGTATGGGAAAATGAGGGAATCATGGGACTTGTGTGTTTGTGTGTATATATATGATACCAGAGAAAAGCTCCAATCAGGGCTATAGGGCTAGGGGGGCTATAGGGCTATTGAGATATAGGGTTATAGAGCTATAGGGCTATCGAGTTGTAGGGCTATAGGGCTATAGGGCTATTGGGCTATAGGGCTATAGGGCTATGCGGCTTAGGGCTAGAGGGCTATAGGGCACCCCCGGGCACGCCCGGGCACCCGGGCACCCAGGCACCCCCGGGCCCTCCCCGGGCACCCGGGCCCCGGGCACCCCCGTGCACCCGGGCACCCGGGCGTGCAGCGAAAATCGGCGACACATATATATATATATATAAACATATATATATATATATATATATATATCTATCTATCTATATCTATACATATATATATACATATATATATATATATATGTATATATATATGTATATATATATATATATATATATGTGCCGGCGGAAGGGGATCGGGGCGGCCAGGCCGGTACCTGCGCCCGGGCCGCTCCGGGGCTCCGGGAGCGCTCCTGTCCAGGCCAAGAGGCGGCCAAGCCGTGTCCACGGAGGCGCAAGTGGCCTCCAAACCGGTCTTCGACGGCCCCGGGGCGCTCAAAGATCGCCCCTGGACGCTCAAGATGGCTCCCATTGAGCCCAAGAAGCCGCTACGACGCCCCAAGTTGCTTTCCAAGAGAGCCCCAAGCAGCCAAAATCATTGATTTTGCATAGTGAAGCGTGCATTTTTAGCATCTACGTCTTTTCGGTCTTCACGGCGTGCACGAGGGTACAAGAGGCCCCCACGACGGCCCCAAGACGGACCAAGAGGCTCCCATCACGGCCCAGGAGGAGCCCAAGACAGCCCCAGAGGCGGCCAAGGCGTGCTCAAGAGGCGGCCAAGACGTGTCCACGGAGCCCCAAGAGGCTCCCAAATCGGTCAAAGACGGCCCCAGGGCTCTGAAAGATCGCCCTTGGACACCCAAGATGGCTCCCATAGAACCCAAGAGGCCGCTACGACGCCCCAAGAAGCTTTCCAAGGGAGCCCTTAGCGGCCCAAATCATTCATCTTGCAAAGGAAAACGTGCACGTTTAGCATCTACGGCTTTTCGGTCTTCACGGCGTGCACGACGGTACAAGAGGCCCCAAAGACGGCCCCAAAAGGCTACCAACACGGCCCAAGGCAGCCCGAGGGGCGGCCAAGGCGTGGCCAGAGGGCCCCATGAGGCTCCCAAAACGTTCCATGGCGGCCCCGGAGCGCTCACAGCTAGCCCTTGGACGCCCAAGACGGTTCTCACAGTGCCCAAGAGACCGCGAAGACGCCCCAAGAGGCCCCCAAGAGGCTTTCCAAGAGGGTCCCAAGAGGCTTCCCAAGAGGGGCCCAAGGACGCTAAGCAGCGCGAGCGCTAAGGACGAGCTTTGTTGTGTTTGTTCGAGTCTTACGTCGACCTTTTTTTCGGAAGCGTTTCGACGAAGTTTGATTCGATTTGTCCATGACCTCGGCTAGAACCAAAGCGCGCGCGAAGCGCGCGATGGTTTTAGTTTCTGTATATATATATATATATATATATATGTACATATATACGTGTATATATATATATACACATACATACATATACATGTTTGTGTGTGTGTCCCTGGGCCCCTTCAAGAGGAGGTCCTGCTGCCCCATGTCCGACCGCACCTCGGCGACACGCGGCGTTGAGAGCGACACGCTCCGTCGGGGTGGCCCCGACGTGCGCGGCCCTCGGGGCGCATCGGGGGGGGGGGGGGGCGAGCCGAACCGAGGCACGCAGGCCGCCGCTGCTGCACCGTGGTGCGGCCTGGCGCGGACACCCCTGGATGCTCGTGCGTGTTCTGTCGGGGAAACGTAGGGCTCGAGTAAGCCGGAACTCGGGGGTTTGCCGTTTTTTTGACGAGCTCGTCCTAGGTTGTGGCGGTCCCGTTTTCGTGGGATGTCTGCAGCGGGAGCCCGCGTCGAATTCCAGATGGGGCCTCGTCATTTTTATGATGGCCCCCGTCAGGCCAACCCGAGTCCCCCGTGCCCGAGTCTTACGTCTCCCCGATTCTGGCCGGCGGAGGGTCTCGTGTTCTCGAGGGAGGCTCCCCTGCCCCAGGTCCGACCGCACCTCGGCGACACGCGGCGTTGAGAGCGACCCACGCCGTCGGGGTGGCCCTTCGGGGCGCGCCGCCGCCGGGGCGCACCATGGAGGGGGAGAGCCGAGCCCGGGCGCGCAGAGGCCGCTTCGCTGCTGCTCCGCGTCAGCGATCGGCACGCCGCGCGTGGCTGCTCTTCGGAGGGACGCCAACAGCCCTTGCCAGGTCGTCGTCGTCGTCGTCGTCGTCGTCGTCGTCGCCGTCGTCTTCGTAGAACGGGGGGCGAGGATCGAGGTGCGAGCATCTGCATTTTTGACGCGTCCTCGGCGGCAGCCGTTGCCGCCGGCGTCGGGCAACACCACCGGGGGGGCCACGTCGCCGCCGCCGCTCGGCGCGCGCCGGCCGCCGTGAGGCGCGTGCCGCCCGCGGCTGGGCCCTGGCTTGGGTCATCCTGGGCCCTGGGCTGGTGGATAGACCTCCAGGCCCTGGCCAGGAGGGCCTATGTGTGTGAAATCCGCTCGTATCCCTATTTTATCATCACATACCGCAACTGTATCGGCTCAGGTATTGGCACTAACCCTGACAGTGCACTGCCCCCTGTGCAGTGCCCTGGAAAGGAGCCCTCCTCCTTGCCTCTGCCTACGGACCCCTGTGTAGGAACGGTCCCTTGGCCGTCTCCCTACTCACACAGCCTGTATGCCAGTCCAGGGCCCAGGACGGGCCTTGCCAGGGCTGGTGGTGGTGTATCGCTAGTAGCTCTCCTGACTCTTGCCCAGGGTCGCTCTTGCGTGTAGCCGAACTTCGCAGCCTCCGTGGCCGAACGCGCGGGCGGCTGGCTGTCCAGCATGCGGCAGCGGCGGCGGATGCATGCAGGGTGGCGAGCGGTCGCAAGGTCACCACTGGTGCTTGCAGGGCTGTCCGCTCGATCGATTCGATGGCGCATCCCTAAGGCGACCGCCTCAGCCCCTTGGTTCGAGGCGCCACTCGCTTCTGCACCGAGCACGACCTGGACGAGCGGCGTACGCTGGCAGCCAGCGCACACGGGCAGGATTTGTTCTATGGGCTGCAGCGGCCAAGCTTGCTTTGCTGAGGGCTCTCGCCGGGTCACGCCGCTTTCGGGCTTTTCTGGCAGTGACTTGCTCGCTGCCCTCTGATCCCTCCTCCCCCGCTCGGGGTCGGTCCGATCCAATTGGCCCAGTCGTACAAGCGGTTAGGTCGATCCGTGCTCAAGGGGAGCGGGTGGGCATCCGTTGCCCGATCGCGACATCGATCCCCTTGCACCTTCGTTCCAGTAGGCATGCGGTCATGCGCAGCTCAACAGGGGGCTGCAGCTTCACCTGCTGCCTGGCGGGTGAGGGCAGGCACGGTTCAAAGTGTTTGTGGCTGGCGCGGCCTATTTCAATCCAGGAGGGGTTGCCGAGAGAAGGCTGGAACCTTTTCTCGTCATGTTCACCAGCACAGGGGGGACTAAACGGAGCCATGTTTTGCCGGTCCTTGCGTGCCTTCAGCAGCGTTTCGCCTGGCCGAAGCTTGTTATGCTTCGTCTCTAGTCGTCTCAGCCAGACGTCTGGCCTCAGGATCTAGAATCTAGTTTCGGAATGTCCTTCGATGGTTGCCAGAGATGACAGTAAGAACCGGGATGCTCCTTAGATGTAGCCCGCGGCCATCAAGTGGCAAGCTATGGAAGAGCATTCTGATGACACTGGAGAAAAGCCTCAATCCGATTTTCCATGGGGCTATAGGGCTATGTGGCTATAGGGCTATGGGGCTGTAGGGCTATGGGGCTATTGGGCTATTGGGCCATAGGTCCATTGGGCTATTGGGCTACAGGGCTATAGGACTATAGGGCACCCGGGCACCTGGGCACCCGAGCACCCGGGCACCCGGGCACCCGGCCTGGCCACCGAAATCGGCCGCGACACCGGGCACCCGGGCACCCGGGCACCTGGCCCGGGCACCGAAATCGGCTTAACCTAACCACATGAATCCGCCAGGACCCCTACAGAGGCTAGCTCTGATTGGGGAATCGAACATCGTCGAAACCGATGTGATGGTGAGCCCTGCGCGCGTTCGCCGCTAGCTGGCGGGGAACGGGCGCAATGGTGCGCTCCGTCATTGCCTCCAGTATGCGGTCACTTCGGCGAGATCAGGGATAAACTCGCCATGCCCTCACTCAGGCGATGGCTCATATCTACCGCCATGCCTCACGCTGCGCTTCCGCAGCCGCATGCTTTGCTCAACCGCTGTTCGCTGCTGTGACATTGGCGACGCATATCAGGCGAATGTGTGCAAACGCTGCGCTTTTCACACTATCATATGCTGATCAGGTAGCACAATATATGAGACAGTCGGATCCTGTGTGAGGAGCATGAGAAATCCCATTGCCATCTCGTCGAACGAGGTTCATGGTGAGGTGGAGGGTCACAGAAGCAGCTGGCGAAATCTAGCACGTTGAGGAGGCAGCTCCTGGCACTTAGGCATTATCGTATGTGTGTTTAGCGTGCCCGAAACACGTCAGGCATAATGAACTCGTCCTCTCCCTCAACTTCTGGTCGGGCCTGATAGGTTGGCCAGCCCAACGAACGCATGGGTAGGCACCCTTGTGCCACTGTCTATCGTGTATCGTGTCTTTGTGATGTCTTGAGCACGGGTTGCATCGGAAGAGCCTTGTGTCTCCCTGAATGACCTGTACAATCCGTCCCGGCTTTACTGCATGTGCCTCCCTTTCCCCGTATCTTTAGGACAGAGGTGAGAGTGGCAGCAGCAGCAGCGATGGGGCACCGGTCATGCCTGCCAGCGTGAGGCCAGAGAGGCAACGTTTGGTCCGGAGCGAGGAGGCGCGTGGCTCGCTTCTTTCTGGTGAGGGGTCAGCCGAGCTCATTGGTAAGGTGTACCCGCAGATCGGGGCGACGCAGCAGAGTAATGGCTACAGTTTTTCTGTGCTTTCAGCCTCTGGGGGCAGTTCTCTGGCCCCAGGACCGTTAGACAATGAGTCGGGAAAGGTTCAAGACCCCCTGGGGGCCACGGCACGAACAGTTTGCAGCGTCGGAGGAGAGATGAAGCAATCTGCTCGTATGGTGTTATGTTCATCGGAGGGCGGTGGGATAGATCTTAGTGAAACGGAGACCCCCTGCCGGGAAACCGACATCAGTTTCGGTTCGTGTCGTGGGTGACGTGCGTGCGGGCAGGGAGACGCTGCGCGAGGGCGAGGCAGTACCCGACCTTGTTAGGGCAGGCTGCCATCATATTGTCCCTGCCCAGCCGCCTGGCTGCAGGGCCCGGGCTGTGCCGGGATGATCTCCCAGTTGGTCCGACGATTGTCCTGTTGTTGTCTTCTAGCTGTTCTGTGGTTGTCCGTGTTTTTCTGGTGCTTGTCAATTCTGGGGTGGACTGCGGCCCAGCGACACTAACATGTAGGGTTCTAGAAATTCAGGGCGGTCAGAGCGAATGAACTGCTCCGCCCTGCCTCTCAAGTTTTTTGGAAGCTATGAGCGAGGCTTGCGATTACTGCGTTTCATGTGCATGTGCAGCAGACTGCAGCATCACGTGTTGCTTGAATGGTTCCGTCTTTCTCTTGGTGCGAATACTTTGTGCGAGTGATCTCTATTTGTGCGAAGAGTGCCTGTTCTCCTGTGACATGTTGCCTGAACCCAGTCCCAATTTGCCCTGCGCTGCCCGTAACATGCTGCGCGAGTTGTCGCAAAGGATTCCCTGTGAAAAGAGAGACAGAGAGAGACAGAGAGAGAGAGGGAGAGGGAGAGTGAGAGAGTGAGAGAGGAAGAGTGAGAGAAAGAGAGCGAGAGAGGGATATATATATATATATATATATATAGCGAGATATGAAAAGAGAGGGAGAGGAAGAAG